GATTCAAGTAACCCCCAAACCATATAGGTCATTGCCATTTACCTCCTTTTCCCTGACTCAAAAAAGAATAAAGGCAAACAAAATAGCAAGTAAAAGAAAGGGGGTGCGGAGACAGAGGGTGAGAGAAACTTGTAATTGGTAGGAAGTAGACACAGGAGGAGGGAAGCTAGTATCAGGGGGCATTTTTGTTTATGGCAATAAAACACTCCTTAATTTTGACATTCATAGTAATTACCCAAATATACCTGGGTAAGGAATTACTCAGAATGACAGACATTTGCACACATATGCACATGCCAAATTTTATGTGATTGCAATCACTATACACATATATTGGTCCATTGTTAATTTTATACTTTTTGTATTGGAATGTAGTATTGTAGGATGCTACCCTAGGAGCCTGATGAGTGAAGGACAAGAAGGAAGTTTCTAATAAATTTCTATAATTTTTGTTTCAGACTAAAAATTTAAAATATTAGTCATTAAGGATGCCTTTACCTCTAGGTAAAATTGAGCTGATTTAATTGTTGACTAAAGTCACTGCTCACAAAACCATTATTTTTGCAACATTATTCAGTTGGATAAGTTCTTAATAACTGTGCTGTACAAAGATTTTTCCAAGTTAATATATTTGCAGAGTACTATAAACTTTCTGATTAGAGACTTTCTTCCCATTAGTGAAATTTGGACCAAAATGATATAGAATTCCAAATCAATGCCTCTTTGAACATATCAAGTATGGTACAGTTTACCTTTAACCAAGACCATTTAATTAAGGTCTTCGGCAGCAGAGAATAGCTGATTGAGGAAAGTTTCACAGCTTGTAAAGGGAGCTGAAGAAGAAATCACAGCAGCATATCATCTTCACTCTGTGAGAGCCTCCGGAGACAAAAGACAAGTAGCTTGAGAGATGTGAGCTGCTTAATTGAACTGAAATTAACTTTAAGATCACCAAGAAAAATCTCTGACTCACAGATTTCCTGAATCATTCTGACCTGTGATGAGCTATGCTCTCATGATGAAGGCTGAGACTGTAAAGGGAAGCAACGATTGAATAAGGAAATGACTTTCAGCAGATGTGATCATTTGGAAAGTGAACACCCAGAGACAAATCTGGATTGAAGCTTCTAACTAGACATGATTTAACATTAAGAAGGCAAATAGTTCAAGCAATCGGCATACAAGAAGGGGAAAATGGCCCACGGACTGACTTTTAAAAAGTACAAACCACTTAACATAAACAAAATCTCCTGAAGGACATATGAAAGACTCGATTAAAATGAGTAGGCACACTGGCCCTTAGATGAAAATACTGAATTTGTCAATTAAACTACAAATTCCAACAGACACCAGTCATAATATTAACTATCTTTGTAAGATTCAAGAACCCAGTTTTGTAAAACAAGTGGTGCTGCAGTTCATGGGGAAACGTAGGTTGAAATGTCAGTAATAGTACAAAACAACTTTTATGAGGAAATATTTTATGTTATAGGTCTCAGAAATTCATTTCTTGAAAAATGTATATTATCACAAAAATAACTGAAGATGAACAACTAGAAATAATTCATATACCAAAAAAGATGAATTAGAAAAAGACAGAATTAACTAGATCATTATGTTTGCCAGTCGACAGTCAATGAATGTCATTGAAAAAAGATTTTATGGTGGAAGTAAAAACTAAATGTTGTAGAAAGATAAACAAAATAATTTGTAATAGAAGTGGTAAAATTCAACAACTACAAAAGACAAATGTGGCAATATCAAAATTAAAACTCTTCTGCAGTGAAGGAGAAAAACAAAACTCCGAATCTTAAGACCAACTGTATTCCGAACATGGAACATGTCAATATGAACATGTCTTCAGGGCTGACCACTTGAGATTGGATAAACTGTGTTGGGAGTTCATCCCTCAAGGAAACTGATTCTCCCCCTCAGCCATCAGAACACTTGTGGCTCTAGATATTATGGGAGGACTTGCGGAGTTTCTAATATCCATGTTAGCGTGCCACTTCATGTTGTGATTATGCCAATCTTGTTCAGGCAACCATATTGTTGAAAGTTTATCAGTACATTTTCGCTCTAATGTGTAGGCAACAATATCTAGGAAGTGACATCCTAGTCCTCTGGCTCTGACAATCTGTCACCTCTATTGTGGTGTTTCCTGAGCTTTAGGCATAAGCATTGGACTGTAGATGTATCAATGGGTTTGAGTACCCTGTGAACACTTGGGCCATTGTCTTCACAAACTTGAAGACATGACTTCTGAAGACACCACGCAGAAAGAAGTAATGGATGGTCCTATCCATCTTTAGAGCTCACAAACCACAGTGACATGCCCAGAGATATATTTCCTAGTGGTAAAATAGCATTGTTACCTTATGAGAGACCAACAGTTGTCAATGGGACTTAAACCAGCCATCTGTAGCTGAAAAGGTCACAGACCCTAGAAGAGAACCTCTTTCTATTTCCCTAAAAAAATGTAATCCCTAACTGCATCCTAAATACTTATCCTTATGCCCGTATAAGTATACCTTTCAACTCTAACCAAAGCATCCTTTTGCAACGGATGCAGACTACTATGGAGATCCAAAACTGCTCAAAATGAAGAGAATAATTTTATATTGCTTTTTACATTTTCCAAATTTCACAGCTAAACATATTAGTCATAACTTGCTGTTAAATAAGTGTTGTCAAAAGGAAAATATGCCTAATAATCTTACTATTTTATTAAAGAGAAAAACATTTACACTTTTAATAAGATCACTATGGGAAATAATTCATTATGATTAAGTTTTTTTCTGTATAAATGGAACTGAATGCAAAACCATAATATACAATAATTTGTATGATTTTGTTGCTAAAAGTTCTTCAGTTTTATTTTAATTCATGTTTACGATTATTAGCATCATTTTGAGACAGTATCTCATGTAGTGCAGGCTGCCTAGGAACTCATTGCATAGTTGAGAGTAACCTTGATTTCCTAAAATCCCCTTCCTCAGCCTCCTAAATTCTGGGATTATACTTAGGATCCATTCTGCCAGGGAACACACTTAACTCCATATTTTACTACTTTATTCAAGTGGCACATAATTATAAAATGTGTGAACTTCATATATTAGTGATTAGCTCCTTGTCACCAATAATGAATTTGTGTCCCCCATTACTAAAAGAAATAAAAGCACTTTCCCTTGGACTTGTTTAGCCAAGAGTGAGTCCAGATTTGAATTCTATATTTCTTACTTCCTATGTCTTCCATCCTGTCTGTCTGTAGGACTGTGAATCTCTACCTCCATGAAGTCTGTCTTGTGTCTGTGTGCATGTGTGTGTGTGAGTGGTGCTCGTCCCTAACAAAGAACTTCACTCTATCTTCATTGAAAAGCAGAATGTATCATATAGGGAAGGAATAAGATACTTTACATAACTGAAGAGTGGATAGGGAAAATGTAGTACATTTACACAATGGAATACTATTCAGCAGAAAAAAAATGGAATCTTGAAATTTGCAGGCAAATGGATGGCACTAGAAGAAATCATCCTGAGTGAGGTAACCCAGTCACACAAAGAGAAACATGGTATGTACTCACTGATAGATGGATTTCAGACATGAATCAGGGGAGTACCAGCACACAATCCCACTGCCAGAGAGTCTAGGAAACAGAACCTTTATCTAGCAACTGATGGAAGCAGAGGCAGACACCCACAGCTAAACACTGAACTGAACTCCTGGAATCCAGTGACAGAAAGGGAGAAATGATGAACAAAGGAGTTAAGACTGGGCTGGTTTAACCTACAGAAACAGTTGGTCTGAACAAGGGGGATCTCTTGGACTCCAGATTGATGGCTGTGTGGAAAGCACGTGATTGACCCAGACCCCCTGAATGTGGATGTCAGTGAGGTCTAGGTAATCTATGGAGCCTTGGGTAGTATTTATCCCTGGCCTGCAAATAGACTCTCTCAGCCTGGACTCTTGTGGGAGGGCCTAGGCCCTGACCTGGATGAAATGACAGACTCTGGAGATTCACCATGTAGGACCTCACCCTTCCTGGGGATCTGAGTGGCGATTGGGTGGGGGACTGGGGTGCCTGGGGGGAGGGCAGGGGAAGAGGGAAGGGACAGGGAGCTGGGATTGACATGTGAAACAAGCTTGTTTCTAACTTAAATGAAAAAAAAAAAGAAATAGAAAGAAAAGAAATCTTTAACATTTTTACAAGGGACTCTCACTGGCACCAACTGATCATAATTGATTCAGGTAGCAAATACCATTGTTTAGCAACTGATATCCAGAAAAGTTTCTTTCAGCCTTCATGGTGCACTTTAGTACGTTGTTTTCAATTTCTGCATTTGCTGTTTTCAGAAAATGAAATACATGCACTGTTCTGGGTCAGGAGCATGGTAAGAATATAATTTAGATTACAGCTATGCATTAGATTAGGCTGTAAAAGCTGATTACATGGGAAATTCAAGGAAAATACGATTGAATGTTACATAGTTCTCTTAAAAGCTAGTTAGAGTACATAGCAAGTTAGCAGTCTTAAGTGACCTCAAGGTGTATTAACTCTGGCTGTGAGGTCCAGCAAGTCTGTGAAGAACATAAGGCATATTCAGAATATTGCAAGTTCACAATAAAGTACCATTGTATAATAATGTCTTTAAAGCAAAATAATGTAGGCAAATCCGATACAACTTGTCTTAAATACTTCCTATATTTGAGCTAGAGCCAAAACCCACCTGAAGCAAACCAAAATCCTCCCATTGGCTCTCTAAGTATATCTGTCCACAAGGAAATGTCATATTTGTGGAGAGGTCTGAGAATTTTCTGCTTTCCTCTTACAGCTTTACAATGCTGTAATAACTAAATTACATAGCAATGACTGCAGATGGTTTGGGAAATTTGCTGCAATTATTTCTTATAAGTACTACATGTTTTAATACTTAGCATTTCATTTTTTTCTACTTTAAACTATAGGCTACAAAGAGAATAACACAAAACCTTTAAATACCGTGATTTTGCTGAAGTTGTAGTCCGAGAAATGGCAATCTGCTTCTGCCAAATTCTATCATGCACTGATGTCAGATGTTGAAAGTCCTCTTGAGAAATTGAAAACTCCTCATGGACCTCCTAAATGTTTGGGTGAGGATCTCAGCTAGCCGCCTTTCCTTTATTCTCATCCTAGAGCTGTATTCTCTCCAGTTTAGCATCATTCTCATCTCTGAATTAGAAAAGCATTCAAAATAAACCCCAGCTTAAAAAAATACCACAATTGAACATTCCTTTTTCCATGAATTTGTTTCAAACACAGTGAAATGTGAACAGAAACATGGAAACTTGTTTTATGTTGAATGTCCCATTTAAAATGTGATTATCTTGGTTTTTAGAATGTCATTCTTTATTTCCCTCTGGCCTCCTGTTACTCTTGCAATTGTCAATTTCCAAATATTCTAAGGATCAAATCTCACTGTAACATTTGCTTAGATCTGCTACACATTTGTTTTAAAATATACAAGTTCGGATGTAACATGAATGTATAGTTGAACAATTTTCCTCCTAATAATTTTGTTTGTAGCTTTTTTCACGTGTTTCTCAAGTTTACCACTCCTATCAAAATTTAAATACCCATCACTTTCAGGATATTCAGCTTTGTATCTGTCATAACAGCAAACCCCACACTGTACTCATATTATTTATTTTAATGAATTTTTAATTAATTCATTATAATTTATTAATAGTATGCCATTATTTATGATGGTTTCAAACATATCCCAGATCCTGTAATTCTTGAGAAAAATTCAACTCCAATTTTATTTTTCCAGTGAATACCCCCACAGCATCTAAAGTGAAAATATACCTATATGACCAGTGAGTCCTGTGGGGCATTATCACAGTTTGTGCTGGTTTTTTTCACTCAACTCAAGATTGTTCAATGATTTACAGATTACCTTATTTTTTAAAGATTTAAATAAATTTATGTGTATAGTATTTGTCTGCATGTATGTATGTGCATTTCCTGCATTTCTGGTTACCAAGGTCAGAAGGAAGCTCATAATCCCCTGGAACTGGACTTTAAAAAGGATTATGAATAGGCATATAGTTGCTGGGAACAGGCCCTAGTTCCTCTGAAACAGAGGCAAGTGTGCTAACCACTGAGCCACTTCTCTAATGCCTATTTATCTTTTAGACAGGTTTTCAAGTAGCCCAGTCTAATGCTCAGAAACTTGCTCTGTGGTCAGGGATAACTCTGAATTCCTGACCCTCCTGCCTCCAACTTCTATGTGCTCATTTGTGACTTCTTTAGCCAACTTTGTGGCGGCTGCTGCGCTGACAATCTCTTGTCCTCTCAGCCTGGCCTGTTAAAGAAAATAGCAAATGTTTAGATTGACCAGGGTGGATCAGATCTGGACAGGAATCAACTCCTCATGGAGCAGATGGCATCAACTGTTGAGAAAGAGCAAAAGGACGAAGTGGCAGAGGCTACTTCTTTGCTAATGCTGGCAGCATCGAAGTGGGCAGTAGGCGTCAGCTTGGAGGAAGAGCAAAAAAGGATGAAGACCAAAAGAAAGGCATGGAAGACCCTGCCTCGTATTTCTCATAGTGACACTGGCTTCACTCTCAGAAGGGTTCTTTTGTTTGCAATAGACAAAACATGCCTGCCCATGAATGTTGCAGGCTAACAGGTTTAACTGCTCTTGTGACTCTTCCCAAGGAGTTGAAGCAGGCTGCAGACTGCTTGTTTCATGAATCTTAATATCACTGTTACACACCTTTTATTTTTATGTTTATAATCTCATCCCTTCCCCAGTATCCACACTTAAAAGTAAAACAAATAGCAGGAAACTCCAGTTAGCCTAACCAATGTAATTCACCTTTGGGTTTGAGTGAAGGACTGGGAGAATAAAACACCATTAGCAAGCAAGTCATACTTTAATGTAATATGGTTCTGTGTGCTTCCTTTTTCATTATAAAAAACACAGAGAAAAGCTGCTATACTTTAGCAGGCTTTCTAAGAAGGCTGTTCACTCTAGGTAAAACTTTTAAAGGCTCTGTTGTAGCTGTTGCCTAGCAGCTACAAAACACATCCACTTAACCAACCTATGCAGCCACAGAACAATGCACATTACATTTGTTTATTAGTCTTCATTTTGGCTCTGCCATACAAGTAAACCTGCCCTATAATTTTTTTAAAATTTTTTATGTCCTTTGAAAGTTCCATGTATTTATACATGTTTTAACCATAGCCATCCACCATTACCACCCTCCAATTCCCCCAAAATCACAGCTCCCCACATCCATCCTATCTTCATGTCTTCTTTTTATATTTTTGACCTTAATAATCCAGAGTTCTGCTAGGGCTGGCCATATGCACATGCTAACTGGTCATGCTGACAAACCACATTAACAATGTTTATTCCCCTAGATTTATTCTGCTTCCAACTCTGGTCAGAGAAACTCCTTTGTATGCTGGGTATTAGTTAATGAAGAGACCCATAACTGGTCTAAGTACTGATTATAATTAACTCTTGAGTGTTCATCTGAGGATGGGTCATCTATGTTCTAAGGACTCTTGATGAGTGCAAACATCTCAATTAAAAGGGCATCTTGGCTGCCTAAAAACAATTTCTTCTTGATAGTTATATAATAACTTAAAGACCCAAGTATATTTAACTAGTTAAGTATGTATGTCATGGGTGATATATATATCTTTTTCTTTTTCCATACATGTGATTGAAAATTGCTATTAAAAAAGAATAAAGGGAAGGTACTGAACTATATAATATGCCTTATTTTGTGCCTGTATAGGTTTCCAAAGTGGGTATATTTTGTAGCTGCTAGACAACATCGATGTCAGAAACTTTAAAACTATTACCTGGAATGGAACAAGCTTCTTAGAACTGTTACTAAAGTTTAGCACCATTTCTTTGTGTTTCATAATAAAAAAGGAAACATACAGAAACATGGTGAGGTCTGGCATGATTATTACCAAATTTCATGTTCCAAGACCCAGAAATTCTATAATCCTCTCTTCTTCCTGTCAGTTGTTTCCTATCATCTTGAGGAATAACATCTGTATGAAAAAATAGTAAATGTGAAATAGTGTACTTTATTATTTCTAGTGCTTGTTATGTCCTTATACCCTTTATACCAGGTGCAGAGCACATTAATAAAGTTGAATTTAGGGAACCTAGTCCTCTTGCTAGACTCAACCCCAAATTTCCAGATGTGATTACCTTGGGACCAGCTGTGATATATGGCTCAAAAATGCTGTCACCTATAAAAAAACAAAAACAAAAGTCATGATAGTGTGAATTTCTTCAGATCGAAGGACGGGCAGGCCCTGGGAATTTGAAATCGGCAGCTCACATCTTTCTAGGTGAAACACTCTCCCTCTTCTCCTCCCAACTGTTCTCCTCCCCTACCTCATTACCTTCCCCTTCCCTACACACATCATTTCTCTCCCTTCTTCCTCCCATTTACTTCTTTCTCACCCTTTTTTCTTTCCCTTATCTACTTCCACTTTCCCCTTCTTCCTTCATGATCTCCTCTTTCTCCTGTCCCAGTCCTCTCCAGTATGTCCATTGGTATCTTCAAGTTGAAGAATTATGATCTAGGAAATATATCAGAGTGTTAATAGTCATATATTTGTTAAACAGTGAAAAACTTAGTATTCTATACTTTATATGATATTCACAATTTTTATAATTAAGAGAAAAAGGCAACATCTTATAGCGTAACAGTTTATTTGACATTTATTTACTTTACTGTGCAATAAAAGAACACAAAAATCAAATAATGTAATAATTTTCAACAAATGGCAAAGTAGAACACATTACAAACAAAATATACTTTCTTTAGTTTTCAATTACACAATATACAATGATGCAACTTTTTTAAAATACTGTATCATATTTAACACTTTAGTGGTAAATAATATCTTTGCTTATAGACCAATACATCACATAAACAAACCCACAAAAGCCTAATGTGATACTGACAGATATTTTTAAATATATTATCATCTTTTTTCTCAAGCAATTACATTTCACAATAGAATGCCTTAGTATTATTACTACATTTCTATGGCAAAGTAATGAAGGCACAACTAGTGCAAGCAGATTTAAGTCCTTAATCTTCTGGGCTGAAAAAAGAAAGAGAAAACACATATACAATTGGCATTTAAAGTTTTGCTTTTTCAGGCAAAGATTTGTCTAACAAGTCTGATGATTTGCACAGGTACAGTCTAATAGGAACATGACATAAGGACTTCTTCACAAAACCAACACATTAGCACCAAACAAAACATGCTTTGGAAAATTAACAGCACTTTACATATTTTGAAGAATATTACGATACAATAGGCAAGGTAGAATAAACAGATGCTTAAGACAGTTTTTTTAGGACATTACCAGATAAACTGAAAACACCAGACTATAAGGAGTAATAGTATTCAGGTTATAGAACAAGTTTTATCTTTTACAAGGTTAGGTGAATCTTTTACTTCTGCTTGCTTCTTGACTTTTTAACATTCTTGAAAAATCTTTCAGCTTGCCCTTTTCACTTGTAGTACTTCCTGTTTCTGTAATCCCTGACATCATGATAGTAGGGATCATTGATTTCTCCTGTGAAGTAATAGATTGATTTCAAGACGACATTATCATGCAAAATTTGGCCAATTTCAAAGTCCTCATCAAGGATAGCATCTTCTCTTGGTTCCAGCTTCCCAATCAAAGGAATCTCGGGAGGACTAAAGAAATTGAAGAAGGATGCATTAGGAACCACTCTTGGCTGGACTTCAATTTCTCCAGTAGCAGCTGGGCGACTCCGGATGGTTGTCACTGTAACATCTTTTCCTCGTCTCCAATCTATTTTGCAGCCTTTGCACTCTTCAATTTCCCAACCCCAAGCAAAGAAAGGGTCATAGTGATCTGGTTTTGACCTTATTATGTATGTCTTCATCAGGAGCTCATTTCTGAAGTATGGGTTGGGCAGGAAATGAAATTCAAAAGTGTAGCTTATGGGCTGGCCAGGATTTGAGAACTTCAGGCTAACATCAGACAAGAACTTCAAAATGGGCTCATCATACTTTTGAATCATAGGCCCAAGCTTATCAACATTCTTTAAAACAGTCAGCCAGTAGTCAGGAATACCTTTAGGATCTTCTCTCTTAGGTTTTCCCTTTCGAGCCCTTTTAACATTACCTCTTTCAGGCCTTGTCTCAGGGACTCTTTTTTGAGCCTCTCTTAAGGGAGCCCTTGGTTTAGATTCTTCTGTAGGCTGATCTTTATTTTCTGCATTTGCCTGGGGAACTTCTTTGGGGTCTTCTTTTTCTGCAGGAGTTATCTCTATACAATCTGCTGAGTCTGCCTTTTCTTCCACCTTTACCTCAGGCATTTCTTCAGAGGCTTCCTTTTCTTCCACCTTTACCTCAGGCATTTCTTCAGAGGCTTCCTTTTCTTCCATCTTCACCTCAGGCATTTCTTCAGAGGCTTCCTTTGCTTCCATCTTCACCTCAGGCATTTCTTCAGAGGCTTCCTTTGCTTCCATCTTCACCTCAGGCATTTCTTCAGAGGCTTCCTTTGCTTCCACCTTTACCTCAGGCATTTCTTCAGAGGCTTCCTTTGCTTCCATCTTCACCTCAGGCATTTCTTCAGAGGCTTCCTTTGCTTCCATCTTCACCTCAGGCATTTCTTCAGAGGCTTCCTTTTCTTCTACCTTTACCTCAGGCATTTCTTCAGAGGCTTCCTTAGCTTCCACCTTTGCCTCAGGCATTTCTTCAGAGGCTTCCTTTGCTTCCACCTTTACCTCAGGCATTTCTTCAGAGGCTTCCTTTGCTTCCACCTTTACCTCAGGCATTTCTTCAGAGGCTTCCTTTGCTTCCACCTTTACCTCAGGCATTTCTTCAGAGGCTTCCTTTGCTTCAACTTTTTCTTCTGGAACCTCTTTTAGAATTTCTTTTTCTTCAGTTTTCAGCTCAGTAATTTCTTTGGGGGCTTCATCTTCGACTTTTGCCTCAGGAACTTCTTTTGGAACATCCTTTTCTTCTTCCTTTACTTCAGCTTCTTTGCAGGCTTCTTCTTCCTCACCCTCTAAGGGCGGCATTTCATCAGGTGTGTCATCCTGCATTTCCTCATCACCGCTGAACTCTTCCTCCGAGTTCCATTCACATTCTTCTTCTGTAGGCTCGTACTCTGCATTGATGATCTGAAAACGCTTATCATAGAGAGGCTTATTGAGCTCCGCATACTTTCTTTCCAGATCATGAATTGCCCTTAAGAACAAGGTGTCCACCTTGTCACACTCATCCTGAATATTTCTGAGGGCCTGCACCCGATTTCTCACTGCCTGGGGTAGCTTATCCAGGAAATGTTTCCCGGAGGGATGCCTTGGGGCCCTTCTGGCAGGCTCAGGGACCCTCTTCTTTCGGTACCCACGACTGCCACTGCCGCTGCTGCCACTGCTACTGCTGCTGCTGCTGCTACTGCTGCTGCTGCTGCCGCTGCTGCTGCTGCTGCTGCTACTGCTGCTGCTGCTGCTGCTGCTGCTGCGACTAGAGGTACTGCTAGAGCTATTGCTGTCAGATTCTTCCCCGGAATCACTAGCTGAGCTAGCCATGGCCTCTTCAGCAACCCCTTGGGCGGCAGGTTCTGTGACCATTTTAGGATCCGCTTCCGCCATGCCGCTAGCCCCCCGCACACCTCCTTTTTTTTTTTTTTAAGTGGTGACACCAGAGATCGCGTCCCCAGGGATGGGCAGCAAATGACTCACGGATGCTCTGAAGGCGAATGCGAAGGCCCGGGCAGCTCAGGCGGCGGGGGCGGCGGCGGCGGCGGCGGCGGCGGTGGCTGTGGCGGTGGCAGGGGACCCGCAGCGGCAGGGACTGCAGTGGCTGCGGAGGCGGAGGTGCGGCAGGGGCGGGGCCACGGAGGCCACACGCAGGAAGCCGCGGCAGCGGAAACAGGCCCAGGGCCTAGGCGACAAGGCCTGTTCGGGGGTCTCGTCTCGGCCTAGAAGCAGGCAGGGGACAGACGAGTCGTGCCGCAGTCGAATGGCGCAGTCCCGGACTCTGACAGGTCTCCTGGCTTAGGCTGGCGAGCCCCTCCCTTCGGTGACACCCCTCGCGTCAACGTCGTTCCCAGAGTGCCTCTAGCTGGCGCCCCATTTGGTGGACAGGCCGGAGTGACGAGCGATCCAGCCAACGAGCGGCCGGAGGTAGCGGCTCTTGCCCCTCGGCTCCTCCTCCCTTCCCAGATGCTCCTCGGTGGATGAGGCACCAACCCCCCCTTCCCCAATGACGGGTTCCCTCCCCCTCCCAAAATTCTCTCCTTATGTGTTTTTTTTTTTAATTCAAAGGGAGAGAAAAAAAAATGCGTAGACATGAAGTAAAAACGCCAGCTATGGTTCCTAGCAACGCAAGGAGCCCGTTAGCTCAACTGCCCATCCTGCATTCCCATTCGGTTGAATTCCCCACCACAAACTGTTAACCGGGGCGGAAAATGAGTGAAAACGCTCTAAGTGGCGTCATAGGATAGTGTGACTGGATGATTGGGGGAGGGGGGAAACACGCAAACAAACATGATTTTCTCTAAATATTACATGAGCATGTGTTTTCACACTGGAAAAGGGGGAGTCGTTTATTGGCAAAGGGGGGGGGGAGGGGCTAGACAGCAGGCATATTGCATTCCACGTAGCAGATTTAATAAGTCCTGTCTGTGATGTTTGGCAAGCCTGGTTTATTTCCATCTACAAGGTTTGCGAACCCATGTTGCCGTGAGTCAGTTACACCATTTTTTTAATCGTATTTCTGTTTTAAACCTGGCATAGAATTGTAGTCTTATTGCTAAATTGCCACGTAGTCCTTTTCAATGCTTGTAGCAAAATTTTAGAAAAAACAAAGGGGTTTTCAAATGTAAGGTAATATATATATAAATAAATAAATAAATATATATATATATTTTTTTAAAGCAGAGGATTTGTTTCGGACTTTTGTGCAGCAGGTTTCAATTCCACTAACAGCGCGATGGGAGGGGGGATTTGTTCTAACGCAAGTGCATCATCTGTAAGTGTTTAGGATGTCATCTGCCACCAGTTTCCTTCTAATTTGGAATTGTATCCTTTTTAAAGGATGATTTACAATCTCAGTAATATGTAAACAAACTTTTGCTAAATGAACTTAAAAAACAGATATTTGCTGTTTTTATTTACAGGATTCACTTCTGCTACAACCAAAAAGACCAGTGTTTACATTTCATTGAAAGGTAAGGACATATTAGCCCCACTTATTTTAATGAATGACCAGAATTGCCCATCTGTACTTAAATAAAAATTCACAGGCTATAATATGTTAAAGATTTGATTGCAAGATATCTTGATATTTCCAGACAAGCAGAAAAATCCATAAAGGTGACTTGGCATACAAATGAGAAAATAACCCACTTAACCACATTCGCTCTCTAAATTTGGTTATAGACTATAACTACTACTATGTTAAAATATAAAATATACTCCATTATTAATTTCAAATGATGAACTATATTAAAATGAGCTTTTTGCAGTACTTTATTTCATTATATAGTTTGTGCTTTTTATTCAGTCACATAATTTTAAGTTAAGAAATGCATTGTTAGTTTGAAAATGATTTTGTATTTATCTGTAACTCTCAAATATTATGTACAATTTAAACATTAAATTCAATATAGAAGATTATGATGATAGTCAATATTTAACTTTAACAACCAAATGATAACCATTTTTTACACTTTGCTGAATTTCCTTCCAGAAGTTTCCTTATGCTTGTATACATCTGCTTCTTTATGTATACTGATTTATCTGTAACATCATGTGATAGTTTATAATTTACTGATTTATAGCTGTTTTCATGGGAAATAATCAATTCCTTTTTTAATAGTTCTATATTCTGTTATAATAATTGCCTTCAGATATTTAAGTAGAGTTTTGTTGTGGGAAGATAAACATACATTTACATATAAATACATATTTAATAACTATAGCATGTCTCCTAAGGCACTTCAAAACATAGGATATTTTCCTAGAAATTGGAGTATGAACTAAGCCTTATGGTATTTTGTAATTTTATACATATTTCAAATGTCCATGAAGGTTCTTATAATTTAAAATTTAGAAAAGTCCATCCATTCCAACATTCAACCAATAATGCCTGTGTCTTTTCTGTGTCAGGCACATTAGTAATGGATGACAATATGATGTTAAGTTGAACATGCTTACCTTTCCCTTATTGTTTTGTAATTTTATCAAAACATATACTATGTGAACAATAATTCAAATCAATGGGATGCATGATAAATACTGCACTGCCACTTATCTACAGCTACAATAATAAACATTTCAAAGATACTTATCTTTTATAGTAATTTAATTGTGTAATTTACATGTTAACTTCTGTATCATCAATGATTACTATTTTTGAATCAGTTTTGAGTTAAGTTCTAGATTTGTTTGTTTATTTTCTTGAAGTGGGTGTGGAATAAAGGAATCACACATGTAAGGGCGCTTTATCACTGAGCTATACCTATAACCATAGATATTAAAATTTTTATTTTAGTAGCTACCTGTTTCTTTGTGGAACATTTATTTCTTAATCTCTCCATCTGTACATACTGAATCACCTTATTTACCATGTAAGCTGAATTAATTGGATCTACATTTTGATTTTTGATTTATTGAACACAGATTCTCCAGCAAATAATGGGATGCAGCAAATTTTGTTGACTTTTTTATAGACAGTCACACTATGGGTCCCAGGGTTGCCAAAATACTTTCTGTGTATCCCAGATTTGCTTCAAAATTAAGAGAATTTTAAGGTCAATTTATACTTTTTGAAATTACATGTATTGATTGAAACAAGTTGACATATTAAATGCAAATAACAAATCAAATATAACTCAAAATATTTCAAGAGATTACTGTCATTTTAACTAATATTTCCTAAATATTGTCACAATGCTCTAAGCATCCATTTCTTAGATTAGTAGTAATATTGAATATATTTTCAGAGTTTTATTTTCCATTTAGTAATTATTTGTTATCTTATACTACCCAATTAAATGAAAAGTTAATTAATCAATGTTGAAACACTAAAAGCAAAGTGAATTGTGCCTTAAATTAAGGCAACCATGAATATTTTAGGAAATATCAGTTTTAACATACCCTATAATACTCTATTATAGGATTAAGTTTAATGTTCTCTTTTAAATTTTTTTATAATTTTGAATTATAAATTCCTATTCACATTCTTATATTTGAAATTATGTCACAAAAAATAAATGGGAAAGAAATCTATAAAAAAAACTCATACAAAATAATATTTAAGAATCTATGATTTTATGAATGTTTCTGTAAACTATGAGTTTTGAAATTAGGCAATTTCCATTCATAGTATTCCTTTGTATGTGTATTTTCTTTCTTATATGTTATGTAATATTTTTATATTATTTATTTTATAAAAATTATATGTATTAAAACCATAGGTATTTCTTCTTGTAAGAAATTTATGTTGTACCATATACACCATATATTTTCTTCTGTAAGTATATTTACATGCTTATTTCCATTACATTAAATAGCTACATTTCTTCAGATGATAATGTATAAACTTCTGGCACAATGAGTTCTGTGTCTGCTCTATTATTTTGTGATGCTTTAGTGGACAGTAAATTCTCATTCTTTACAGGAGATGATGTTTATCACAGAATTTGTTTGTTACTCAAGCTGTACATAGCTCTTTGAGAATTGTTTAGAACTTTCCTGATATGAGCATATACATAATTCCTTGTATTGTTTCTTCAAACATGCACACACACGCACATACAGACCCACACACAATGACAAATGTGACATTGTTGTATTGAGTTAAAAGTATCCATAAAGCTATGCATAAGCAGTTTATTTCTTTTGAGCTTTTAATTTAAAATTGTGTAAATTGTATGTGTGCATGTGTGAGAGTGTATGTGTGTTTCTATTTGTGTGTGTGCGTGTGTGTTGCGCGCACATGTGTGCATGTGTGTGTGAATGAGTGAGTGTGTGCGTGCGTGCGTGTGTGTGTGTGTGTGTGTGTACTACCTGCAAGTACATACGGAAATCAGATGACAAATTTGTGGAGTTGGTTCTCTCTTTCTTCCATGTGTCGAGATTTGCATAGCAAGCATCGTTAACCACTTAGCCATGCTACAGACAGTAATTGATATTTTCTTGCTTAGTGGTGTGTCAGTTAGGGGTGAAGGATCAGCCTGACATTTTTATCTGAATAAGCACGTATCCCATTCATTATTTTAAAGAATTAGTAAACCATTATACACAACAAACTTTAATAAATCTATACACATTTGACATCACCTCTGTCACTCAGATAATCAATTTTTGGTCATATCCAAAGTTTTGTCATATGTCTATGCATCTGTAATTCCACCCTCTGTCCCTTGGCAACCGCTAATCTGTTTTATGTTCCTGTAGAACAACATCATTTTATATTCACCACTTTTTGTCTTTATCCTTTTTCTGGCTAAAATATTTAGAAATTTATCCACTTTGTAAATATCAAGAGTGCTTTTCCTATTTCTTTTTACTGAATACTGATATATTTTCTGTAAGTTCAATAACTTATTCTTTCTGTGCTTTTGTGTTTGTGAATAAAGTTGCTATGATCGCTTTGTGCACAAGTATCTGTAAGGACATATGTTTTCATCTCTTTTAGAAAACGTTTCTAGGAGTGGAATGGCTGGATCACATGGTAGGTGCATGCTTGCCTTTCTAAGTGAACCAGTATTTTTCCCTACCTAGTGCATGAAGTGACTCAGCTCTGCCTTGAATGATGTGACATACTTTGATGATCCTCCATGGGAGGCGAGAGGATGGAGGGTGGGATGGGGACATACTTGGTTGAAGTGGGAGGCCTGGAGGGAGAGGGAACTGGGATTGGTATGTACCATAATATTGTTTTCAAATTAAATAAAAATTAATGAAAAAAGATCTATTTCTCAAACATGTTGTTATTTTCAATGCTAACAACAGCAAAAATATTTGTTGTGCACAATATTTTTGAATGTAACCATCCTAACAGAGATGTGGTGGCATAGATGTTAAACATCTTTTCATATGCTGATTTGTGAATCACATGTGTTCCGTGAAGTGTATAATCATATTTTCCCTGTTTATAAATGAGTGTTATTTGCATTGTTCTCATTCTTTGAGCAGTCTTCTATAGTATTCACAAGAGTCCTTCATCAACTAAAACTTTAGCAAATTACTTTATCTTCTCTCAACCTTGCCCTCTACAGTTGTCAGAAAGCAGAAGCTTTTTTCACATTTGTGATGAAGTCCAAGTAATATTTTTTCCAAGTATCATGTGTCACTCAAAGTCACAGATATTTTTCATTATCATTTTTTCTAGAAATTTAATCACTTTTGGTTTGATACTAAGATTGACAATTTGGTGCATGATAAAAATATGTTGAGTGAAGTCATTTTAATATTTTTAATATTAAATTTAATATTTAATATTTTTCATAAAGATACACAATTAGTTCAGAGTCAAGAGACTTTCCTTTTCCCATTCATTTGACTTTTCACAGTTGTCAAACATTAATTGTCTGTATATGTAATGTATCTATGATGGAGCATTATGTTCCAGTGTCTGCTAGTTTTAATTCCCTAATTGTTAGGCATGCATTTATTAGATATATTCAGGAGGGAGTAAGAACCACAGTATGGAATACTAGAATTTCATTATAATGGAAGTTGCAAATTTTCATCACTGAACTTTCAATTTTGCTTCAAATGTTTGAGAGACAGGAAAACACAGCAGCAGCATAAACCCAGAGAACAAATGTAAACAAAAAGAGAAATTGATTTTATGACAATGCCTATACATATACATATACATACACACACACATATATATATATATATACCATAAATGTAGAAATAGTATTTAGCACTTTTCAGAAGCATAAATAAGACCTTTGTCTTCTTACAGCAGATACCTATTTACTACAATTAAAATACAATTTTAAAGATAATATAGATCATGATTGACAATCAGTAGTAAAACTAAAGTGTTTATTATTTTACAAAGTTATTTTCAATATAATAATGTACTTCATTCTCAGTCCTTATAAAGTATACAAGTGAACAGAATGTGGTGTATAGATGTAGGTTTTGATTTTTTAAAGCAATACCTTGTGAATTAATTATATTTCAGTCAATATGCAATGAAGTGTACAATCTAAAGTTACGGCTAATTCAATAGCAGATAAAAATCAATAATTTGAATAATTTATAGATTGATTATTTAAAAGAACTTTAAAGTAAAAGAGTACGTGTAGCACATATCATGATACATATATATGTATATATGTTCACATGTGTTCTTTATACTTGTTAGATGATTTCTTCATGTTTCTGTGCCTGGTTTCTGTTAATTCACATAACATTGTGTCCTCCATACTCATCTGTGTTATCACAAATGAAAAGATTTCTAATGTTTTTCATTTTTTTAAATGCTAAATACTCTTAACCTTATATACATTTCAAATTTTCTCTCCTCATGTTTATGGTCACTTAGATTGATTCTATATTATATTGCCTGTTGCAAATAATGGTATAGTGAACATAGATTTTAGGTATTTTCCTAAGAGACCGATTTTGTTTCTTCAACATACTCCTTATTAACTTATACTCACTTCAACAGTAGTAAAGGTTTCCCTTTGCTCTATGTCCTTAACAATGCGTAGTATGATTTCTTTTTCATGATAATCATTTCAATAGGAATGAAATGACATTTCATAATGTTTTTACTTTTTATGTCTTGATGATCAATAATATAAAGCATTGTTTTTCATGTATCTGTTGTTTTTGTATGTCTTACTCTGAAAATGTATATTTAGTTCCTTTATCCACTTTTCAGCCTAGTTATTGGTTTGATTCATCAAATGCTTCATGTATTTTGAGTATTAACAGGTTAGGAGATTAGTGGCTTGTAAATGTATTTTCCCATTCTACAGCTTGACTCTTCACTTTGTTGATTGTTGCTTTTGCTGAACAGAAACTTTTCAGATTATTATAGTCCCATTTGTCAATTTTTTTGTTTACTTTTATTTTTGCTAATAGTTTTCAAATTAAAATTGCACACACTGTTCAAGGATGTAAAATATCACAAAGGGATATTTATACAGGGATGTTCAAATATTTTTTCTTATAATACATTTCTATATTATTTTCACTATAATTCCAATTAAGTGTATATTTTAAATTATAAGCTTATTTTTATTTCATGTACTTTATTGGAAACAGGAAAATTTCAAAGAATTTAAGTAGTGAACAGTGTTAATATATATTTAATCTCAATAAATTATTAAAAAATTTACAATTAGTTTGGATACAATCACAATCAGCATAATGGATTGACATTATCTGTCAACCTAAAGGCAGAATAAAAGAAACATTTTGTTTCATTATATGTCTGTGTTGAGGGAAAAATTGTCTCATGGTAATGCAGACATCCTTGCAGATAGAAACAAATACATATTCATTAATATTCAAAGTTATTAATTTTCTAATAGACTAATATATACATAGCACACAGAATCTTTTCTTTGAGGTAAAAAGGAGAGTTTCGGAATAACACTTTATTTCCTTAAATTACTTTTTCTTAAGTATAGGCTCTGAAGTTACAATTAATTCCCAGACTTGGAATTTGTTTTCTCCTTTTAATAACTCTTGTAGATATTAGACAGTCATTCTACTTTCTTGCATCTGTTCTCTATCTTTAAAACGACTAATAATGGATCATAAAATAGAGATAGAATATTCTTTGCTATTTTCATTTTTTATCATTAATTTGTATGCAGATTCTTTTTTGGTGTGATTTTTTTTTTTTTTTTTTGGTTTTTCGAGTCAGGGTTTCCCTGTATAGCTTTGGGGGCTGTGCTGGAACTCGCTGGTCTCGAACTCACAGAGATCCGTATGCCTCTGCCTTCCAAGTGCTGGAATTAAAGGTGTGTGCCACCAATGCCCCGGCAGTTTTGTTGTGATTTTAAACACTCCTAGCATTTTATCATGTATGTACTCTAATGTTTTAGAGGTAGCATAGAATTCTACATACTGACAAAGCCTTTCAAACTGTAATGTTCCTGAGGGTAGAAATACAATGTATGGTGGCAACCTCTTGATATTTATAACATTATTTGATCCAGATAGTTATAAGGTCAATAAACAGTTATCCTGTCTATTATTTACCTGTATATTGTCCAATTCTTTTTTAAGATATTTTTTATTTTTAAATTTAAATTAGAAACAAGGTTGCTTCACATGTCAATTCCAGGTGCCTCTCCATTTCCCTCCCCTCCTCCCGTGCCCTCCCACCAACCCCCCAATATCCCCTCATTTCCCCGGGGAGGGTAAGGCCCTTCAAGGGGGTGTCCATAGTCTGTCATTTTATCCAGGGCAGGGCCTAGACCCTATGCCAAGAGTCCAAGCTGAGAGCGCATCTCTCATTGTTGGGTGGGAGTCCAAAGTCCATATTTATACCTGGGATAAATACTGCTCTACTACCCAAGGCTCAATAGATTACCTAGGCCTCCTCACTGACACCCACATTCAGGGTCCCATGCTGGATTCCCAGGCATCAGTCTGGGATTCAAGACCTAACCCTTGTCAGGTCAGCTGTTTCTGGGGGTTAAACGAGCCCAGTCTTAATCCCTTTGGTCATCAGTCCTCCCTCTCTGTCACTGGATTTCTTGAGCTCAGCTCAGTGCTTAGCCATGGGAGTCTGCCTCTTCTTCCATCAGCCACTGAATAAAGGATCTGTTTCCCAGACTCTCTGGCCATGGGATTGTAGGCTGGAACTCCCCAGATCTATGTATAAAATCTGTATATGAGAGAGTACGTGCCAGGTATCTCTTTTTGTGACTGGGTTACCTCGCTTAGGATGGTTTCTTCTAGTGCCATCCATTTGCCTGCAAATTTCAGGATTCCATTGTTTTTTCCATTGTTTCCAACAAGACCAGGAAACCAGCAGATCAAGGTAAGCAAGGCCCTGCATCCCGGGCGTGCCTTCCAGTGACTGAGGACGGCCACAGAGCTTCCCATCCCGGCGGTAGCACCCCAGATCCCAAGTCTTCTCTTCCATAATGTCCAATTCTAACTACCTCTAAGCCACATTTACAACAAAATATAATAAAATAATTTTAAAATAAAAATAAATATTAATTGAATTTTGCACCTTATAAGCTTTCCCCATTCATCATTATGAATTCTCTACTTCTAAGCTATACATTCAGTCTTATCTAAGATGAATTTACTATATCTCATGACTCTGTATATTTTTATTCCACTATATAGATGTAATGTTGCAATTACCTTTATCTTAAAATATAGTAATACAAAATTTATGAAACAATAGCTTCTATTCTTGATATTTATAATTCCCCCTTTTTAACTTTGTCTATATGGCTAAAATTTATGATATTTTGGTTTTGGTGGGTGTTTTCCTTCTTTCTTTCTATCTTTTTTCTTAAGACAAGGTGTCTATGTAGCCCAGACTGTCCTAGCACTCTCTGTAGATGAAGCTGGCCTCAAACTCAGAGAGATTTGCCTCCTTTGACTACGAGGTGCTGGTATTAAACATATTTACCACAACACCAAGCAGTTTAGGGTTCTAAATAGTGTGCTGTATGAGGAAAGTTTAAGTAGTCAGCAAGTACATTTGTTTTCACTTATTTTTCCTTGGAA